AAGTGTGCGTAGCCGTATGTGGAGATGGTACTCGTAGTCCCGTTGGCTGCGGTGAGATGGTAGGTCGTTGGTGCACGTCGCTCTCGAAGTTGACAGCGGGGGAAAACACAGAGGTCGCTGCCTGTGTCGACCAGAAACTGCGTCTTCGTGGTGCGGTCAGTGATGAAGAGGCGACCAGGAGAGGTGAGGCAATCGTCAGTCGCCATTACCGACTACCTGCGGCGTTTCCCGACTTGTAGTCGCATGGTTTCTGGCATTTCTTAGCTTTCGAGCCGAACTTTGCGTGGTACCAACAAATAGGCTAGCGCCGGTAACTGGACGCCGATCTCGATGATGAACGCGATGGTATATGTCGCTGCTGTGGTCTGGATCGGTTGACATTACGCGAAGATCGTGCCTGCTGCTCGAGTTTCATGGCGAGGTGCTCGACCATTTTGCGAAGCTCGCTAATTTTGCTAGAGATGCTGTGGCCAGGTGGTATGCCGGAGGACGAAGTAGCTGCAACTTGCCCAGGTGCTGTTATTTCCTGGATGCGATCCGCTAAGTCTGCTAGCTGCTCCAGAGAATGCGTAGGTTGAGACGCTATTACAGTCTGGATGTTCTGTGGAAAGCGGCTGGTCCAGATGGATTGGATGAACTCCTTCGGGACGTTAGGGCCCGCTAGGTCTTGCAGGTGTCGCAAAAAATGTGATGCTTTGCGGTCTCCGATCTCCTCGTGAGTCAGCAACTGCCTGACCTTCTTCTCTTGGGAGGCAGTAAGGCGCTTGATAAGCTCGCTCTTAATTTTCTCGTAGCGGTTTCGAGATGGTGGGCTCACGATAATGTCCTTAACAGCCTTTGCGTGTGTAATATCGAGGTTGGTGACTACGTTATTAAATTTCGTTGCGTCTTCTGTTATGCCATAGCTCTCAAATTGCCCTTCCAAAAGCGCGAACCATATTTCCGGATCATCCGGCGAAAATGATGGAACCTTCAGGGTGTACGGCTTTAAATCGGACGACTCGTGACGTGTGCCCGTGGAAACGCGCTTTTTCTTTTGGTGGCGGGTAGTGACATTTTCCTTACGGGAGTCAACCGTTTTGGCGGAATCACTGCTATCGCTCATTATGATGTTCAACAGGGGTCACCAGTAAAGCGTTGTTGGATAAAGATAGATAATAGTTCGCTTAGTACTTATCTGCGGTGCAGTCGGGAGGCGGTGTAAACAATAATCCAGCACTTCACAGTTAATAGTTTATTTATTGCACAAGCACAGATGAAAGTATATATAATAGAAGGAGTACAGAGCACAGTCAGTGATAAACAAGCACAAAAGTATAAGGGAAAAGCACAGACAAAGCAACATAAACAATAATATGGTTGACTACAACTACGAGTGTCGGTGCTACAAAGCGCGGAGCAATTTAGCGTGCGTACGGTGTCGAGTATAGGTTCCGACTGTCTTGCAACGTGACCTATGCGCGTGAGCCGGCAGGTTTGCCGAACAATAGGCGGCGAAGTGAGTGCGCGTGTCCATTCGCCACACGACTGTTATAGATCGGCTGATGCACGGCACGATGTAGTGTAATTGTTTTGAGAATAAATATATGTGCTTGTGATGACAGTATATGAATAAATTTAATAAATATTGTTATATGTTAAATGTAAATAATGTATATATAAGAAATGTTATTGTATATTAATGTGAATATATTTCGTATTTAATTAATGTTTTATATTTATTTATAGTAATAAAATGTAAATGCATATTATATAATATTTGACATGTTTCTAAATACTTATATAATATGTATAAATGAGATTGTGGGAGAACCCCACACGTTCATATTGATTCTGACGGAAAGGGCTCTTAATAAATGTGAGAGGAATTATTATACTTTGTTAACTTTAACTATTGGTGTCTTAAACGACGCCCGCAATAGGCACTCTGCGCGTTCCCCGCTTCCATCAACATTTCAAACAGATGCTACGCCACTAAATTATTAGAATAAACCGGGAACACTGTCAATTGAATAATGTGACAGCAGAAGTTTATCGACCGACACTGTGCAAGCATACAACATGTTTATAAAGGTGACACAAAGCTCTATCCCGGAAAGAAATGGACAGAAAGTTTTTAACTCATTTACTTACCATCAATATTTGTATATCTGATAGAAGTCTCGTAAAATGTTTGCATGAACTCGTCCTTATCTCTCTTTGTATATTACTCGCAGGGAATGTTCGTATAGAGGAACTCCTATTTTCAAGACTTTCCGCTCGTTTAGCAAGAAATACGTGTGACTTGGAAAACATTACGCAAAAAGTTTTAAGTGGCAAGTTATTCTAAGTACTGTTGTTTTGCATAATATTAATTTATTCATGAAATTGGCAGTTAATTCGTAAAATTGCTTAACAGAAGAATTAAAAGCGTTTAACTTTGTGACGCCGGCCGTTCTTGTAGCTCTTTGTTTGGCGGCTTTTCACGTCCAAATTAGGACGGCGAAAGCGAATAATTCACAGTAATTTATAACGTGATTTAATGTAATAAAGCTGGATGTCGCAGAACTAGGGACGATAATATTTTTTTTTATCGGCTTAAAATTACATTGGTGGGATGAGCGGCTGGGGCGGCAAGTTTTGCTGACTCAGTTGAATTTATAGCAAAACTTATGTTCAAGCTAATTAATGAAAGCTGCTTCGCGAACGCGCACAGGACTCGTTTTATTTATGAACATCACAAGTTAATCGTTGCTGCGGAAACTGCCAATGGTGTTTGATTGTATTGAGCAATCTCAAGAAATATAGATTCTGGAAGTTGTACTGTTTACATTTCGGTATAATTGTCAAACTGTTTTCAGAAGTGTTTGCTACTTGATGAGGAGCGTAAAGTATTTTTTTTTTCATTCGAGTTTTCAATCTGTTTCGGAGGCGTAACTTTTATTAAAGCAAAGAGGCCACAAGCCGAAGCATCGGATCGCAGCTGCCTACGTATAAATATTTCCGCAAATTCCACCTTTATTTATTTTACGCTATACCTACAGATAACGCTAATGGCGCTTTGATGTGGCTCTAACTTGGAACGCAACCTTAACTTTGGGCAGGCTTTGATTGATTTTCTTCTGAATTTTGCTTGGGTAGATTACTTGTTAGTTCATTTGCATCCCTAAAGTGGAATTTAATATAATTACCATCCTTTATATTAAATTCCACTCCGGGAATGTTATATAAGCTAATCATATTGGCTTCATCTGTAATATATCGTTTGTTATTTTATCAAACAAATAAGTAAAATATACATTTTGGAAGTATCTTATTGACAGTGGTTGTTTAATAATGGAAAGAAGTAAATAACGTAAAAGTTATTAATATACATCTTACTAGTATTATAAATGTGAAAGTTTGTATGTTTGTTACTCAATCGCGCAAAAACGATTGAACGGATTTGAATGAAAATTGGAAAATTGCGATAAAAATATAGTTTAGTTTAGGATTGAGACATATGATACTCTTTATCCTGAAAAATGGGGCGCGGGGGCGGGGCAAACGTTAGAGGAAAGACCTAGCCGAGACCTAGTTAGAGAGCTAGCCGGCCGCCGCCGTTAGCTTTGCGAGGTAATAACACGCCGCGCGGCTAATATTATAATTGTGAAAGTTTGTATGTTTGTTACTCAATCACGCAAAACTACTAAATGGATTTAGATGAAATTTGGTACACACATACTTTAGGACCTGGATTGAAACATAGGATACTTTTTATCCCGGAAAAGTGTCAGATTCCTAAAGGGATCGCAGAAACTTGCGATGCGAATTGTTGCCATATGTTTTCGTGCGGCAAAGAATTGGTTAAAGGTGACCATACCTTCAACGGAAGTCAACGGTACTGGACTTGTTTTAGTAATGGTGACATGGATCGCAAAAAGTTGAGTTCATCCATTTATGACGACTATGATCGCTGATGGGAACTATTTTACTCGAAATTAGATGGTTTGAGAACAGAGAAGATATTTTTTTATCTTTTTAGAATGCGCATATCTTCCTTTGAAGAGCTTTTGAGTTTACTGTCACCATCTCTACAAAATCGATCGTACAAGGGAAATCTCAGGGCGGACTATAATGACGTAATATCGCAGGATTGCGCGATGCTAATCATTCTTGCGGGCTCGCAGATATTTGCGATGCGATGCGAATTCGCAATTATGTGTGGGAGCACTAAAACTCAAAACTTATAACTAGTGATTTAAAAAGTATTACCTAAACCATTATTAGTCCAGTCAATGAAGGTTTTCACAGACGGTGTCTCCTAGACACCGTCAAGATTGTCAAAAATTTGTCAATTTTTGTTACGGAGTCTATCTGAAAATCGAAATAAGTTGAAAATTTGAAATACTGAAAACGCCGATTCATAATGTACTTTGTAAGTTGTGAAAAAACAAACAAATTATTTTTCCTTTCGCGGTTTTCTGTGATGTGTAGCTTGGAAACGAAGTACCTATTTCATAAGTAAGTGAGTGATATTAGGTAGTTTTATTATCAGGATTAGTTCATTTTGCGGAACCCTAATAGAGCGAGGCCAGACTAGCGCTTGACAAGTTTTTTTCCTAACAAGTTATGGATGGAATTTCGGATTTTATTCCAGTCACCGTAGAGTCCGTAGACAAAAATCGTGTTTGGTTGTAATCAATTTGACTCTATTGACTTTTTGGTATGTTGTTGGAACTTTAAAAAATTTTGCAGCTTCGAAAGACTTATTCTATACTAACTCCGTGATGCTCCGAAAACTGCTTGGTTTTAAGAAACGATTGTAAACTTTATTGTGTAAATGATAGCAAATCTTAAACATCCTGTAAGTTAACATAAAGATGTCTTTATTTTGCAGTAAACAAAGTTAACGGGGGAACAAAATATCGTTAAAATTACGTTTACCCGTGCAAAGCCTGGGCGGAGCGCTAGTGTATGATAAACTAGTTATATGTATAATCCTAAGTCTGATTTCTATTATATTTTTGTGTTTGTTCCAGTTTGGTATGGCGCGACCGAGTACCTCGCCCGCTGTCGCAGTGCTCGCTGCTTGCCTCCCAGCAGCAAACGGCGAGAGACCACCGTTCGGACGCGCGCCTCCGAATCGACGCGAAGGTCCTCGTTATCGTCGAATCTGCGTACTCGCGTCTGGGGCGCGACATAGCCGAATTACTTGTTGCCAACCGAATCAGGTAAGTTTGTACCACTGGCTACTGACTGCCACACTTCAAAGTCAGCACCGAACAGTTTCTTTAGGGGGAGAACATATTGCGAATTGTTACGGGAAATAATCGGACGCACGATTCCGAATCGATGTGAAGGTCCTCGTCATCGTCGAATCTGCGTATTCGCGCCTCGGGAGGCGACATAGCCGAATTACTTGTTGCCAATCGAATCAGCTAAGTTTATAGTGCGACCCGAGTACTGCAACACTTTAATATCAATTCCAGTTTCTATAGGGGGAAAATATTGCAAATTTCGAGGGAAATTGTTAGACGCACGCTTTCTAAAGGGCCCCATATACGGCACGATGGATCTTTACGATCTCTCGTTTCGAACCGATCGAAACGACGGATCGATATTGTGATTTACTTAATCGAATACGAAATTGAAAATCGCAACAAAAACCCATGCAATCATGAATATCGTAACGAGGAATCGATAGTATGGCTCTACGATTAACGATTCAATTTTGTGTCATTCTGACGCCTTTGCGTTAATATTGACATACGATACTGATTTCGCTTTAATAGACATTTCATCACCCTCACTTTTCAAAGTTTTAATTTTTTGTAGCCGAAATAAAGTTACTGCTCTGAGGCAGTAAATATTATATTGTATTATTTCAGCACGTCTTTATCTTTCCGTTTCAAACAAGAAGTGATCGATCGTTACGACCAATCGTTTCGTGTATGTAGTGTATTTTTGAAAAGATCGATCGTTACGATTTCCTTCATATAGATCGAAACGACGAATTGTACCGTATATGGGGCCCTTTATCGATGCGAAGGTCCTTGTCATAGTCAAATCTGCGTACTCGGTCGGAGCGCTACAAAACCGAATTATTTGATACGAACCGAATAAGGTTTGTCAGAACAACTGAACTGGAGAAGGGAAGCTGACTGGAAGAAGAAGAGGAATCTGTATCGATATATTTGTGCTAAAATTGTCCAAAAATCATTGATTTCATTAACTTTTCAGACATTGTATATAAAAAAAAGTATTAACCAAATTCTGTTCAAATATTTTTAAACAGTGTAGGCTCGCGTGTGCAGTGGGTTGCAATCTTATCCAGTTATCTCTCAATCTGGCACCTGCCAGCCAACGGGAGCCTTCCCGTTCTATTCGGACCCCCTTCATGGAATTTAATGAACTCAAGTGTGTTCGTGAGGCGTGAATCGATATGAACAGTGCAGCGTATCAATAGGAAGATGCTGATTTAATTAAGTACATACGATGCGTATTTAGATTTAGATTTTAGTTTGGAGTGCCGAATACAGTTTTTTCCAAGTCTCATTCCGAAATAAAAGAGAACGGTGTTTGGACATTGAAAATGACGAAGATTTAATTGCTTTGTCGACGCCGGTTATTATTATTAGGAAGTAATGCATACTTTTGCTCATAGTTATTTAAAGGTAGTTAAACATTTTATTGATATTATTTCACATGCAACATTATCTTCTATTCGGGTTTAGAAACTGTCAGCACTTTAAAGTCAGTAAATAGGTTTATGGCAAATACAGCATAATAAAGAGTTAGCGCAACCGACCGTTATTGAATTGAGTGCCCTTCAGTGAAGTGGCCCGTTCGAAATACTTGCGTATTTTGTTACCAACTCGTATTGTACAACATGGAGCTGTGTGGTTTCCGCCCTAAGTAATTAGTTACTTAAAGCTTCGCTCTGAGCACCGCCGCTTTTACAGTTCTGTGGATATCATAGATTTACAGGACTTCAAAAGAATTACACAACAGTATTATTATTGGATTAGTTGCCATTGTCAGTCGCGTAATTTCTAATGCATAAGAGGTCATCAGTAGAATATATAATTTCCCAGCTCCGTAATTGTATTGTATCCTTTTTCAACTAGATTATTGCTAGATTATCACCCCATGATATTTTGTTATGTTTTGTTTAAGAAATATACAGCAAGCATTAAACTTTTTGCCACCAAATTTACATGTGTCAGTAACTTGATATACAATACAAAAATTGCTTACACTATGAAACGTTTTAGCCGGGATGTGCCCCAACTCCAGACCAGTTTAATTTGAAAGGCTAAAACGTAAAGGTTGTTTAAGACTACTAAAACAACGCATTAGTGACATTAGACATATTCGGCCCATCTATAAATTGAATAACATTTTTTAATATACAAAAATTTTCAAGCTCATCAATATACGGCGTTCCGAAAATTCCTTTTTTTAAGCGTTATTAGCACACGCCAGATATCCGCTAGTAATGTACAAAAGCTGATTCACTAGCTGTTAGCACTTAGTAACAGTACGATACGACCTTAAAAGTTTCCCCGAATATTTCTCCGGTCTACTCCGGCCGCTATTACCGCGTTGTGTTTGTTTTGTTTGTTTTTCCTGGGCGGAGGCGGCGGATCGGTTGTGAGCGCAGGTTGACAGCTAATATGCGGACGAATTGATGTACCGCCTGCCCTGCAAGATCGAGGGTGGGATTACATATGGTGTCTCGTGCTCGGGCAACTCTGCAATAATAATCGCCTGTGTCAACAGCTGCTGCGAATGTTTTCCCGTTTGCTTGCGGTGTCAGATCGAAATTGCTATTATGCCGATGTTACAGCTGAACTTTATTGTAGGAAAAATGTAATAGAGTAAGATCTGAGACCCGCTAGACCTTACTTATTTTCTTATAGACCAAATATTCATAATCGAGTAGTGTTAGTGTGACAATAAACGTATACGTACTTGCTAACTTGTACGGTGGGCCAATTCTCAGGTATAAGGTGGCACAGGTACATAAAATAATCTCGCTTTACAGTCAGAGGACTGATTCTTAAGTATGATGTAGACAATATTGTAAAATACATACATACCATATCGCGTTCAGGTATTGGACGATATGCTACTGATCCGTTTTCGTTATGGTGTTTATTAGTGATCAGCATTTCATCCAATTTTAAACGGCTCTAGTTAATAAGGGCTGTCGCGATCCGGTTCCCATTCGATATGTATCCCAACCATTATAACTTCGCGTTTAGGTGTTGGACGATATGCTACTGATCCGTTTTCGTTACGGTGTTTATTAGTGATCAGCATTTCATCCAATTTTAAACGGCTCGAGTTAATAAGGGCTGTCGCGATCCGGTTCCCATTTGATATGTATCCCAACCATTATGGCTTTCATTTGTTTCTTTAAAATTTTATAATTTGATTATTCAAAAGCAGATAAAACGAGAACATGTGTCCGATCGTTGTTTATTCAACAACTAAATAAATGGAAATAAATAGGACGCATCGTAAGTAACTTTGCCTCACGCACGGCCACCATGTTCATAAGAACACCCCGCCTGTATATCAGCCACGGCCTGAGCGTTTTAAGAGACTTTTTGCTCTAATCCCGTGCCGTCGTCTGGTTAAAAATCGGTTTCATCTCGAGTCTTCGGTCTGTCGTTCTACGTTCGACGACTTCACTGTTCATGAAGCGTTTGACAAGTCATGCAATTGGTTTTCCCGTTCCATTTTTTACTGTATCGTCTGGCGATTTGTTGCACTTGTTCTATTTTCTAGTCTGTTAAAAAAACCTGTCAATTGACGTTCAACAAATTTACTACACTTAACCTTCACGGTCCTTCCATGTGTAAGCATGTGTGTGTTTCTAAAGAGGCTATGATGAAAATAAGTAAATAATATTTATTTGTCAAGTTTTCACGCACATGAATCATTTAAATTAGAGGGAGCCTACGTTTAAGAAATGTGATTTCTCTTCCTTACGTTTGCAAGTCAGGAAAAACTGTTTTTTTTTGGCATAATCGCACTTCGACTATGGGCAAATCATAAACAACACGCGAATAAAAATAAAATAAAGAACTTTATAATTTTTATTATTTTAAAGCATGAAATTATATATATTAAAATAATAAAAATTATAACTATATTTGCTATTTCTTCTTTGAAATGTTTAATACTTGTAAAATATTCATTTGACATTGTGGCTTACCTATAATATTTATTTATTTATTTATAATGTGAAGAGATGGCGCTGCTTTGCAGCTTAAGATGGCTAGAAGAATTTTGACGCGGTCTGTGAGGGTCGCGGTAGCATAATTGGTCAGTGCATTCGCCCGGATTGCGAAGGGTGCGGGTTAGAGTCCCGTCTGCTGACTGGTCCGCGTGGAATTTTTTCTAGTTATATTTTTTTTATAAAGAACGTTCTTTTAGCTTCAATTCTGAATAGTCTTGTTGTTCAACCAACCATAACAAAAGCACATGCAAAGATTATGAACGTGCTATTTTGTTTTAATTTAGGAACCGACACAGGGCAAGCGCGTGAATGGTATAGTGCGAGACGAGTGGAGCAAACGAGAAAGTGATTTATTGATTAAATGTATGTCAATGTACTTAATTTTGTCCTCGTATCCAACGAGGAAGGAACTGACTACTGACGAAATTTAGATAAGAACGGCACTTAATCTTTTATCGTACCAACATCATTACGTGTATTTTTATTCTCAAAATTGTAACGAGATAAGTTAAATGTTCCACAATATCTTAGTCCTAAACTAAACAGAAGTTATATTTATGGAAACTAAAAAATTATATTATGTGTTGAATAAATATTTAGTATAGAATGCACCAACCGGTCAACTTAACTACTAATACGACTTATATAGTTAAATTACAACGTCATTTTACACCCATTTAAACACTTATGAGCACACTAACTTGATGCGTTCAGCATAAAATATTCCTGTTAATGGCACGGTCGCCGTTAAACAACTCTGGCATGGCTACACCCCTAGTTGCCTACTTAGCGACGCTACTTAAGTAGACAACTTAGTTCCACTACTTTTTGCTTTCCACTACTGATAATGCTGAGAACTAACTTCAGCGCGCCATTTTATAAAGACTGTGAAGTACCCAATCAAGTTTTCTTAATAAAGTTACATAAAAATTAATAGCCTGCCAAATTTCTTAATCAACCTATATTAAACATTATTCACGC